CCAAAAGTTTCTCCCCGCAACCCCCGCCTTTCTCACTGAAAACAAATCTTAAGCGAATGTCATATTTTGGCTTTCCAGCAGCTAACATCTTACTTCAGACCTCATATAACCAGAGAACACTGAGAATGGTCAACAGTTTGAGAACCACAGACAGTAATAAGCGAGAGTGTCGTTGCCATATCCTCTTAGCTCTCACATGTGCCTTGCTGAATACACAGAACCAGCCTCCCAGGTTTTCTTCCGTGTCTAGTTCCTAAAAGGCTTCCAGATGGCCCATACTTGACATGGTCAACATTACCAAAACTTGCTAAATCAAATCCCAGGCCAGCTTCCGTTGAATTCCCTGTTTCTGGCTCAGGGACTCCTTCCGTGAGCATGTGTTTGCTCATCTGGTGCCCTCTGGCTGCTTCTCCTCTCCTCTGCTTTCTTCTTCCACCCAAACTTATACACAGTCACCCATAACTGCCTTCCTTTCCCTGGTACCATGCACCCTTTAGTGCTCTGCCATCTAAGCAAAGCAAAAAAAAATAGCCTTGACAGTCTCTAGATTCTTTGACAAATGTAGGACTGAGATGCCTGGCCACCCACTAGCGAAGAGAACAGACTTTGTCCATGGTTCCTACCAGTGTACAGTCATTCCCTTAACTTTTTGCTCTGCACCCTCTGGTGTTCATCACTGATTGGCTGCAGAAAGAACAGTCACAACTTTTTCAATGTCCATCCCTAGATTGATAAGGGCTACTTTTGAGTAGACAGGGTGAGGGGAAGGCACTATGCTGAGTGTTCATCTCACCTTATCCGTTACATCCCCGACGCACCTGAAGAAGTGAAGTCACATCTCTAGGGATTCAGAGCTGACAGAGGGAAGCCGGAACACCCCAAACATAGCGAGTAGGGATCTCTTTGCCCCTTGGGGGCTGGGGGAACCCAGAGCAGTGGGAGCAGGAAGTACAGGCCAGTTCTCCATTGCATGGAGTGCTTGCTGGGGAGCGTGCTGTGTCACAGATGGAGTCAGTTAGAAGAAGCTGGTCAGGAACACCGGGCTGAAGGGCAAGCTGAGGAAGGGAGCTACCACATAGGAACAGCCAATCAAGTAGAATGATCTTTTCTTTCTTTTTTTTTTTTTTCTTGTGGTTGACAAAGTTTCCTGGTGGAAAAGGGTGATAAAATGATGTTGATGTAACTGCCCGCGATCCGCCACCTTAGAGGATGGAGTGTGCTTTAGAGGCTCAATCCTAAATGGAGATACTAAGAGTGCCCGGTTCACTTCTCTTTCATAGAGAGCATGCTTGAGAAGTGCATACTACCTCAAAAAAGTCTCCCTAAAGTTTTGCTGGATTGGAAGAAGAGGAAGAAGCTTCAGGCTTCTGACAGGGCGCAGGGGAAGGAGTTGGGCCTTGTATCTGCTCATGTCACCATCCCACATGTTTGTTTCCTGGGATTCTCACAGCGAACCATTGTGTCGGGTAAACACGAGGTGGAAAATGCTATCTTGAGCAGCCGGGAGGCAAAGCAAAGCACGTTAATTGTGGAAAAGCAGATCCCAGCTCCACACGAGTGGTAACTTCTTGACAACAAGCATGGTCACATGGCCATGGAGATAGAATTGCTAATGCTGGCATCGTTTTGCGACCGTGCAAGGTGGACAGCTGCCAGTGGGCAAATGCTGGGAAACGGCATCAGTGGAGTGCAGCATTGAGTTGATCTGGCTTTGCTCCTGCCCTGTTGCCTTGCCGTCAGGTGTTGGAGATGCTCAAGGTCAGGGCATCCTCCTCCTCCCTTTTCCTCTCATCCACTCCCACTGACCTCTCTCCCACTTGCATCTTTGTCCGAGGTCTCTCTCTTCTGAACTCCAGACACGTGTATCCTGCCGCTGATTGAACTTGGACGACCCTATTCCCCAAGCCCCAAACGGAACCTATGATCTTCCCCCCTCCACCAAACCTTGGCTCCTCTCCAGTCTTTGAGGGAGGCCTCAAAGGCACTTCACAGGCATGACACCTTCAAAGGACTTTCCTGCTGCGTTGTAATGGAAAACCGACAGTGGAGGGAGAAGTTAGACAAGGAAAGGATCTCCCTGTCTTCACACTTGAAAATCTTTTTATTTTTTTTAAGCTCAAATGTTTGCTGTGTGTGTGTGTACTCTGTTAAAATTACAGTTGCTATTTTACCATCTCGTCGTCCCTGACAAGGTTTTTTTTTTTTTCTATAGTGAGGTAGGTTCTTGTCTGTGAATTTGCTCAGTGCCTGGGTAGTCATCTTTGCATTTGAGTTTTAACAAGCACAGTGTTCACAAACACAACATACTCCACCTGTTTTTTTTTTTTTTGCCCCCAACTGAACAGAGAAGCCACCCCAGAAAGCCTCAGCTAGATACGGCTACCTTCCAAGAAGCCAGAGGGAGGCAGGTCTCAGCTTTACAAACCCCAGCTTTGCAAGAAGCTTGCTCTGAATAAGTGCATCACTGGATGTCAGGGTCCCAGGTAGTCCTTTAGTGTCTACCCCAGTCCAGGCATGCGAGCATGCATGGTCAGCCCCTGTCTTGGTTTCCTGTTGGTCCTCCTTCTGGCATTTCTGTATTCCTCCCCTAATCATTTGATATCAAATTACCACATATGATCTTTCGAACAATTGAATTCATACATGGATGAACTAGCAGATCTATTCTGTACAGCCACTTAGAAAAAGGACAATTGATAAATTCATCGATTCCATGTCTAATCTTTTTTTCTTCCTCCAATCCAGGTCCTCTTATTTTCTCCCCTGCCCCTCCCGTGCCCACTGCTTCTCCTTAATGTACGTCTGGAATATGAGTTCTGGGTAGCTAGAAGCCTAACTCACAGAACTTCCCAAGGAAATCTTGAAGTGACATCTTATTTTCACGTGAAGCAGTTTTGCATAATGGTTCCAAAGATGGATAAGAATGCTGGAGGACGAGGAGTCTTAAGGAGAGAATTGTAAGAAAGAATCCTGACTGCTTGCCTTTCCAGCAGAAGGGTCATACGCTGGAGACATCTTGTTGTCCAAGAGTAACCACGCCCATCTGCATCCACTTGCACATACACACTTCTCATTCACGCCCCTCAGCCGGATGCACTCTCACGTGTTGACTGTCAAGGAAGCGGATCGTCTTCAACACTGCAGCTTCTACTCTTTTTTTCATGTTCATTTTTGATGATGTTTAACAGAGTGGGAAGGATGGAGGGACAGGGCAAACTGGGCGAGGCCATTGTTTCCAAATTTTCTTTTTCTTCTTGCTCTAGCTGGGGGAAGGGTAAGATGAGGGGAGAAGCCACACCCAGGCTCCCAACCCGCCCAGTACCCAGGGATGGGGAACAGCTATCCAATGTCATCCCAGGGTCCCCAGTGTGGGACATGTTTTGAGAGTTCTACGTAACTGATTTTGATAGTTCTGAAATGCTGTCGATCTTGCTGATCCACAGAGGAGGAACTCCTTCCAAGGTTCATCGGTTGACATAATCTGCCTTAACGCCTCTATTCACCCAGATATTTGTTGTCATAGCTTGGTTGGGGTAGTTGCCCAATTTTTTCCACCTTGTGTCCTCTGCTATGCTTTGAAGGTCCCAGTGGGCTGCCACATCCTCCATGTGCATCTGGGCCTGCTACCCATTGCTACATCTGTTTCACTGAGGAGGGTGTCCCAGGACGCCCACCCAGGCCCCAATGGACCCTGCCCCATATCCTCCAGGGCTCATGGACCTGGAATCCTGACCACACAGGTGGGCCATGGGATTTGGAATAGGTGACCCAGGGCCCTGCTGGAAATCCCATCCCAGGGCTTCACAGAACCAGCAACCCCTGCCCACACCCAAATCTTTTTTTTTTTTTTAAAGATTTATTTTTATTGGAAAGGCGGATATACAGAGAGGAGGAGAGACAGAGAGGAAGATCTTCCATCTGATGATTCACTCCCCAAGAGGCCGCAACGGGTGTAGCTGAACCAACCCGAAACCAGGAGCTAGGAGGTCTTCTAGGTCTCCCACACGGGTGCAGGGTCCTAAGGCTTTGGGCCATCCTTGACTGCTAACCCAGGCCACAAGCAGGGAGCTGGATGGGAAGCAGGGCCGCGGGGATTAGAAGCAGCGACCATATGGGATCCCAGCGTGTGCAAGTTGAGGACTTTAACCACTATGCTATTGCGCCAGGCCCCACACACATATCTTTACAGAGAAAAAAAAATAGAATAGGCTAGGTCACTATGCTGGCACACTCTAATGGTTAACACAGATTTGGCATTAACCAGGCCCAGATGCCCGCCTGCTATTAGCTGCTTCTCTCCCAGCAGTGTAACTTGCCTCGGTATAATGCAACCTCGGCGGGGGCTTTTATTTACTTTTTTCTTTAAGATTTATTTATTTTTATTGGAAAGTCAGATATACAGAGAGGAACAAAGACAGAGAGGAAGATCCTTCATCCACTGACTCACTTCCCAAGCAGTCACAACAGCTGCAGCTGAGCCCATCTGAAGCCAGGAGCCAGGAGCTTCTTCCGGGTCTCCCACGTAGCTGCAGGGTCCCAAGACTTTGGGCCGTCCTCTACTGCTTTCCCAGGCCACAAGCAGGGACCTGGATTGGAGGTGGACCTGGGCTGTGGGGATTAGAACTGGCACCCATAAGGGATCCCGGCATGTGCAAGGTGAGGACTTTAGCTGCTAGGCTATTGCACTGGGCCCAGGCTTTTGCTTTCTTAAAGGTGCGTGGTTTCACACAGGAGTTTAGTTAAAACCTATCCTAGTATGTTAGCTGTTTTGATAGTTGAGCCTCAGCACACTGTAAGAGCTTTCATTCAGTGAATATGTACTGAGTATCTATTGCATGCAAGGGAATTGAATAAGCAAACGGAAAGAGGGTAGGAGTGGAAACATGCAGATGTGTGCAGCCAGCCCCATGATATTCTTTGGGGGAGAAGAGTACCCTAAGGGAAATATTTATTCCAAATTGGGAAATAAAAACCACCAGATGCAATGATTCATGGTTTTGCTAGGCATCCACCACCGTCACATTAATGATGCTGAATTCTTCCACAATTTCTGTGGAGATCCTGTGCAATTCAGCTTGATAGGCAAAAGACAATGATGGGTACTGACTCTCCTGGAAATGTGGTTATCGTCAATTAAGTTCATGATTGCGTCATCAACAGCTTGGAGAAAAAAGAATTGTTTTTTTCCCCCAGCAACTTTAACATTGAGCAGGCCAGATGGGAAACCAGGATGCATTTCTCATGGAGAAAGAAAGAAAACTTCCAGGGGCCAGGGTGTGGTGGTGGGCATCAGTGGACAATTTGTCCCGAGAAGGCAGACAGAAGATACCAGGCAGAGAGTTCTAGAACAGACTGCATATTTCCTTTGGGATTACATACAGCTGATGCGTTCTCATACAAAGCTTTGTATTGTTTATCTTATCAACAAAAGAACAACCTTCTTATTCAATGGCTGTCAGTCCCGACCACTTTGTCACCAGACCTCATCTTGGCTGGCCCTCCGTCGTATGGTGTATTTATGCCAAACGCATGCATTGGTAATGATTTCATTTCTGCCTTTCTGGGTAACTGGTTCTGGGCTCGCCTATTCTTCCGTGCTTTGTTTTAATGGTCTGCTCTGATATCCTCTTTGGTGACAGGCTGTCTGTTCCCTGTTTGTAAGACGAGGCGGTAAAATAATACATACGGATTTTTTAAATCTCCTTGGAGAGGCCCTCACTGGCTTACATATTATGATAATGCCTGTAGGAGTACTTGATAAACAGCAAAGCAATGTACACGTTAATTGACGTGATTAAGTAGCTCTTCTAAGCATCTCCAATTGATTTCCAATCCCAAGCCCTATTATCAGGCCAAATGTGAAATGAAATTGCCCCCCGCCCTTGCTCTTGTAATGACTGAGCCATTCAGACACACGGCTCTTATGACAGCTGGGAGTCATTTGAAAATGAGCTTCACTTCACTTTGGCGTGTCAGATGGTCATTTAAAAAAAAAAAACTGGGTTCTATTTTTATATGTATATATTAAGCTTGGCTCGCATTCAAGAGGCATAAGCCCTGTTCCAAGTGAGGGGCTTAGGTATACGGCTGGAGAAGTTCTCATTTCAGGAGCAAAGAGGCTTGGGTACACAGCAAGCCTTGGTCACGGCACTGGAAGGAGGGTCAGCCGAGCCAATTCAGAAAGGCAACATGTGGTGGTCCTGGCAGCAGGCAAACTTTAAACAAAGGCAATCAAGGACCCATGGGTGTACTAGTAAGAGAGCTGAAAGGGAAGAAGTGATGATCAACAGTAGCTGAGTTTGCATAACAGCCCCGGGAACTTGGGGAAGGATGCTTAGGCACCAATATCACACCACTCATCTTTGTCCTCTCAGTGACTTTGCAACATCAGAGTTCAAAGGAGATGCTCTATGTTATACCTGTTTCCTCATAAACACCTATTTCCCTCCTCCCCCGTACTATTATGAACTCACCAGTTGGGTAAATGTGTAATAATTCACTTTTTTTTCTAGGTGGTCAAATTCCTGCTTGTGTCAAAAGGTGGAGACGAAAGAATGCATATGCATTCGCATGGCCACATGGAGGACCACACAAGAAACAATGCTGACTTAATTTGAAGAAGAGAACTGGAAGGCCGAGGGACAGGCATTCACGGAGACACTCCTGTGCGCTTTCTAAAAAGTCCATTTATTTAAAAAGCAAAGAGACAGAGAGAAATGTAGGCAGAAAGACACACAGTCACATAGACAGAATCTCGATCATTCAACTGCTAGTTCATTCCCACGATGGCCATAGTAGTTGGGACTAAGTGAAGCCAAAAGTCATGAATCAATAATTCCATCCATGTTGCCTACATAGGTCATGGGGACTCCTTGAACCATCATCTCCTGCTCATCAAGCACATTAGCAGGGGGCTGGATTGGAAGTACAGCATCCAGAAGTCAGACCAGCACTCCACTCCTATATAGGATATTGGTACTAAATGTGGTGGCTCAATTTGCTATATAGTAAGCTTACCAGAGTTCACTATTCCCCATGGATTTGTCTTATCCTTAACAGCTTTATTTTACTGATTACTCTTAATCAGCAAATGATTGCTGGTGGAATATTCATGAAAGGTTTTTATCCCCTCAAAGATAGACATCAGGTCTTCTGGGTGCTCACAGGACTTGGACCAGTTCAGAGCACTTAGCATCCCTCGGTGTGCTAATGGATAAGCTGATGTGTTAAGCATGATCGAATAATATGCCTGTTCTTTTCTTAAATTAGGTAGCCTGGATACTGAGGGGAAAAAAAAAAGAAGACAAGGGAGCAACTTTAAAAACAAACACAATAGTTGCAATGATGATAGCAACAGGAGAACAAATCAGATTCCTTGGTACTTTGCTCCTCGAAGTATCCTCCACGGCCAGTGCATTGGTATCACCAGGGAATTTACTAAATATGCAGACTCTTAGGTCATTCTTTCAATCAGACTTCTGGGTCCAGGTAGGTTTCTCACATGGGGGCAGAGGTGCATACATGTGGACCGTCTTCAGCTCCCTTCACAGGTGCACATCAGGGAGCTAAGTCACAAGTAGAACAGCCACTCCAACATGGGATGCTGGCATCAGAAGCAGTAGCTTAAGCTCTGCACCACAAGGCAGGCCCCCAGAGTGCATGATCCCCAAGCACATTACAGCTCCAGCAGTAGCATCCAGGGACCAGCTACATGTCCATCTTCTGATCTAGTCCAGCACCGGCTTATCTGTGATCCACAAGAACCAAGTGGATCACAGAGCTTGCCCTCCTTCCCCTGCAGGATCCTTGCCCAGTGGACCTGCATATACCATTCCATGGGTCCACAACAGCCTGCCACACATGGTGTCAATTTGATCCGTACCTCTTCTCTCTACCTCCACGCAATCCTGGCATGTATGATGCAAAACTCAGTGTGAACCCTCCCATTTTTGGACGAATAAGATCCTGCAGTGTTTATCTTGATGAGCCCATTCCTCTACTCTTCATTCCTAGGTCTTTCTATCCAATAAACGCTGATAGCTACTTCTGGTGATTCCAAGCTATAGATGCTTTGGTTGATTTCCCCAAGATTACTTGTATGTTGATGAATTATCTGTAGGTAGAATTCCTATGAATTCATTTCTTTATTATATTACAACAACAATGAATTTTCAAGGAAGACAGCCTGCTGAAAATACTAAATGAATTTACTTTTCTCTCTTAAGTCATAACCCTCTTTTTTTTTTTTTACTCGTCTTCTTTTTTGCCCAAAGCAACAGAAGACGGATGAATAAAGGCATGGATACATGTTTGGCAAGACAATTTGTCTAAAATGAAACTAGCTACACTGTCACTGCATATCTGATAGGTAGATCTTGAGGCTGCCACCCTTAGGTAGAAGAACAAGATTGTGTGCTGGGGGACCTACACGCAGCCAGCTTTTGAGCTCTTAGAGTTGTGGGTCAGTGCTGCTGCTGCGTGTGCAGTGGGTTGAACCATGGGATGCTGGTCTCCCCTATGAAAGCATCATTTCAGTTCTTTCCTTCACTTCTATTTTAGCTACCTGCTAATGTAGGCCCTGAAGGAGGGCAAATGTCTCTGGGCCCTTGCCATTCATGTGGGAGACCCAGATGAAGTCCCTGGCTCCTGACCTCAGCTTGGCCCAGACGGGGCTGTTGTAATCATTTGGAGGAATGATCATAAAATGAAAGACTTTTCTATAATGTGTAATCCTGCCTCTCAAATTAGTAACTTTTTTTAAAAAAGGGATTACAGAGAAGAGACTGGTTCATAGAACTGGTCAAACATGCACTTTTGCCTGTTTTGAAAGCACAATGGGTTTTAGAAAGAATATAAACCTTGGGCTGAACAATCACCCATTCATGTTAATGGTTACATTCAATGAGCCAGGTTTCATATCCGTCATTACATTCAACCTTTATAAGAACCTATTGTTTCATTCAACCCTCTTAAGAGTTATAGTTACTGCTTTGCTTCAGCAGATGAAGACTTGAAGCAGAGAGAGTTTAAATGACTTCCTCAGGTTTATATATTTCATAAATGGCAGAAATAGGAATAGGACAGAAGCAGGTCCTACTAGAGACTGAACCTTTTCCTTGTTAAACTGTCACAGTCCCAACTGATGCTCAATTTAGACGATTTGCTTGTCTGGAGTCTCAAGTCCCTCCTCTAAAGTGTCACCATGGACATTTATCATACAGACCTGACTGTATATCTTATCCTTTTAGAAAATGCCAGGGGCTGGCATGATACCATAGCACACTAAACCTCCACCTGTGGCACTGGCATCCCATACAGGTATCAATTCCAGTCCCAGCTGCTCCACTTCTGATCTAGTTCCCTGTTAACAGCCTAGGAGAGCAGAGGAGGATGGCTAAAGTGTTAGGACCCCTGCACCCACATGGGAGATCCAGAAGCAGCTCCTGGCTTCAGATCAATCCAGTCCAGCTGCTGAGGCTATTTGGGGAGTGAATCAGTGGATGGAAGATCTCTCTCTCTTGTTCTGTAACTCTGCATTTCAAAAAAAATACGCTTCCTTTAAATGCCAAATGACAGCTGGCACAATGGCACAACCTGCTAATGATGTTATTGGGAGGCAGTTTTAAGTTCTATTGCTATTTCTAGCCCTAGTGGGGATCTGAGCACAGGTTCAGGAAGAACTGGGGTCAGACAGTTGTTTTACTACGTTGCAGTTTAGAGCAGGACAACGCTAACCCTCATGCAAGCCTGCCATGCCAGTGGATAACTCCATGAGACCCCCCTGCCCATTCCCAATCTATGTAATGGGAAACCACAGTCTTCGGGGGGGGGTCACTTGTCCACTGCAATTTGAAGTAGTGGCCCCAAGGAGAGACTGACTCACACAGCCAGGGTTTCACATCTTTTAAACTGAGCCCTGCAAATTATGTATCCTGCCTCGGTCATAGCCGTTTGATGTGTCTCTTTGAGTATAGTGGAAAGGTCAAGCCATAATAAAACTGTAACATTAATGCTACCTCCTAGGGTGCCGAGTGCAAGACACTAACAATTTAATAAGTTTGGGCCTTTGCATTGACCTATGCTAATGTGTAATTTCATGCTATTTTGCATG